ACCTGCCCGGATTGTCAAGCTGAATACTCCAGACTCTGGCACAATCCCGCTAAGCCTCGGCAACAAACAGGAGATGGCGGCAAGTTTGAATCTCCCACAGTCTCGGCTTTAAGTGCCTACTCATGGCAATGCTCTATCAACATGTCTGACGTTATCTCCTGTTTCTGAATGTTTAAAAACCCTGTACTTGTGGAGCACATAGTGAAAAATTGTTCCGGTGACGTTCCTGACCTCAATCATTTCCCACATTCAGGATTTACTAACACTGCAAAAAAAAACTTGCTCAACTGCCTGCAGTTGACATGTAGCATGCTCCAGCCAAGCTACCATCCAAGCTACACATTTTCGCATATGTAGATCTTTTTGGAACAGTTACTGTGCAGTATGCACAGTGACTGTGCATCAAAGCTTGGTTGAATCAATTTTGGAGAATGGCTGGAGTAACAACAGAAGCTTCCTGGGACTTTCTGCATGTCAACTGCACGCAGTTGAGCAAGTTTCTTTTGACGTGTAAGCGACGAGACAAATACTGACCAATATATACCCAATGAATGAAATATGATTCATCAAGTTTTCCCAGATTTGATTTGGAGGTTGGAGTGCTTGTCAAATCGTGATGCATCTTCATATGCTCAAGAACACTGGCTGGAATTTTATTGGAGATTTTAACCAACTGCTTGAGTAGGGATATTAGCTGCAACTTGACATTCCACTTTTCTGTGATTGTCTTGTTCATATTTTCTGGATGTAAGGGAGGTATTAAGAAGGTCAGCATTGAAGCCAGCTGCCAATGGAAACTGGAAAACCATGTATACCAATTTGATTTTTTCTAGATATTCTCCCAAGAATTCCATTCAGCTATTCATGAGCCCAGGAAGCAGTCAAAGCAGGGGGGCCAAATCGGATGATTTGTTTGGGATAATGTTGCGATATGTGTAAGTTTGGTTTACATTTGGGTTTTCCTTTCCAGCCATCAGAAAGTGTGGTACAGTAGTTGATCATTGCATTGGAAAACCAGCCGAGCTTGGTGGTTTTGACAGTGCGAGATGTGAGGAAATTGGTCATTGAGATAAGCTCAACAGTGCTCTTCAGAAGGACCTTGCAGTGGGGATTTGCTGATTGAACTTTCCATATCGGGATCAGAGTTAGAGCGAAGTAGACCGAATGAAGTATCAGCCATTCCGCAGCCTTGAGAGAGTTTCTGCCAGGGTTCCCAACAGTGTCCTTAACCCATGATATCCATGAAGGGACCCTTGCAGCACAAATACACCTGTGTACTGCCTCAAGTTCTGCCGGTAAAAGTTTGGGGTCCAAAAAGCTTCAAGACTTCATGTTGGTTTTTTCTAGAAGTGGGGCCGTCTCTTGTATGGTCGCAAGAGCTTTCACAGTGCCTGTACTCAAAATTGTGCCACCATCAGATTCTTGGGATTTGTAAGTACTAGCCGCCTGGCTCCGGTCTGATTTAGCCAAATTTTGGGTCGTGCTGGAATAACGAGTTGAGCTGGAGGTAATCAAGCTTTTGGGAGCGCAAGCAGGGGACGCGGGGATTTTGATCAATTCTATGGATCCACGGGAACTGTCTTGTTGCAATGTCTTTGAGTGTGATCATAAGTTGTAGGGGCTTTTTCTCTTGAGTGTTACTATGCATAACAGAGCGTCAGGTCTAGAAATTTCAGCACACAGTGGATTAGAGGGGTAACCCACGTACCAATTGAGATGCCTTTTTATCCCTTCATTTACTGGCTCTTGGAAATTTTACTGGGTCTCGAATCCAATGAGGATGGTGTGCCACCAACAAGATTGTCATGCTGCCATTTTTTACCTTGAGCTTTCAAACTCAATTGAAAGCAGGATTTTGTTTGATTGTCACGGAATGAGGAGGCTGATCCCTTGACTGATTGTATCACATCAGAAGAACACAGGCTGTCAGATACCAAGACCTCCATGTTTTGTTTTTTCACTAGATGTTTCAAACTTGACGGAACGGGAGGCTTCCCTTGGTTTTCTAAGATTGGCACTGATTCCTTAACCGCAAGGTTTTCAACTCGCAAGGGAGTCTGTCGCAGTTTGTAGGTATGATTAATGTAAGTAGATTGCTTGTGCTTCTTACTTTGATGTGTTGTTTCCAGATTTTGGCGTGAGGACGAGGGGTGTTTTGAGAAACACACGCCTTGATGTATGTACACAGCATGCGACGCAACGGGAAGATAGATCCATTGAGAGAAGGGTGGGGAGGTTGATTGGCACTTGGCTCTCATCGATTGAGGTGGATAGCTACTCGTTCGAATGCCATTATGTGATGCGTTTTGAATTAAGGCGGGGCAAGCAAGGCTGGTCTTTTCTTTTTTTCAAAGTGCGATTAAAGGCGTGGAATTGCATACTACTTTGTAGACACAACGTATGGAAAGATAACATATCAGATAAAAAAACAAGTAAGGGATGAAGGACAAGAGAAGAAAAAATCGAACATTGGCGAAAAAACGAGTAAGAGAGAGTTAATGAGAGAAGAAAAAGAGAACGATGGAGAAAGGTCGAAATCAATGGGTCGGATTTGCAATGTCTGAGAGTCTTTGCAGATGAGTCCAGCTTTGCGGACTGATTCAATTGCTGGGGTTCCATCTGCAAACGGACCAAAGCTCATCCTGATAAAAGGATTGGCTGCCTTTTTTCACTTGCCTTTTTTCTAGTATTCTGAGGACAGCTGGCGCACTGGCCCCCTGAGTATGTAATAAATACATAGCTTCATTCAGCTCGTGAGCTTCAAGCATAGCATGGCTCAAGATTCAAGCATAGCATGCCTTGAGTTACTGCATGTCAACTGCTAGCAGTTGATCAAGTTTTCCTGTCAGTGAGACCGTTTCTTGAAATATCAATTGACAAATTGCTATGACAGTGTAAAAGGACAGCATCAATACAAAATGATTTGAATATTTCTTCAAATGGGACCTGGTATGTCATGATCCATCCACTTATTTCCAATGTTATTTTTTCTATCAATCTAGCTGGGATTTTTTAGCTACCCACATGAATAGGTATCCAGGCCCCAAATATTTGCTTGTATGCGACAACACAAAGGTCCACAAGGTATGCCAGGTCCAACATCTTTTCAATAACACAGGGGTTCACAATACTTCCCAGGTCTCAATCCTATAGAGATCTGCTTTTCCGAAATCAAGAGTTGGCTCCTCAAATGTCACACTTCATTTATGTTGAACTTTGTAAGAGCTTATACTGAAATAGTGGTTATTGAATGCCTCCATCATTCCCAACATTCTCCCCTCATAGTTGGAGGTCCGACTCCCAGGACCAAGCGGATGTCCATTTTGGGAGTCGGTACTCCAATTCACACCTCCAATTTGGGAGTCGGCACACCAATTTGAGAAAATTTGAAAAATATTTATATCTCAATATTTAGCAGCCCAAATTACTTAAAAATTTGAGGATATTTTGAAATAGATGACAAATGTAGTGTTAGCCGAGGTTCTTTTGACAGCCACTAACACAACCCATTCTTTTTGTAGTGTTAGCGGGCATTTTTTGCCCGCCGGCGCTACCTTCACAATATCTGTAGTGTAGCAGAAAAAAGCCCAACACTAAAGCTTGTTAGTGTAGCTTTAGTGTAGCTGGCCCAGTGTAGGTTTAATTTGAAGAAAAAAACCCCTTAAGATTTAATTACACTCAAAATAAGGGTTGCAATGTTAAGGGGTTGAACATGATTGATTCTGGTAACATAACTGTTTCAATGTTAAGGGGTTGAACTTGATTCATTCTGGTGATGCCACTCTTTGATTTAAATGCCAAAGCCTGTGGGGAAATCCCCACTAACCCTCAGGTATATATAAAACCACAGGAAATTTTTTTGTATCTATACTCCATCCTGTTGAAAGATTTGCTATGTTAAATTTTATCTAATCCTTCCCTGATTTTGTTCTCTTTTTTCTGATCCTTTCCCTTGATTCCCACCATTTAATTATTCCTAAGCCCAGCTTCACACCTGAACCATCCATTGCCTTCCTGCTTCCTAACACACCACTAAAACTTTCCTCTCTGCCTAAACATACCCCACGGATTCAATGTGTCCTCACCTTCAACCTGTATCACGCATATTCAAACGCACCCCTTGCCTTTTTTTTCATATTCCCTCCAACCTAGCATGATGTGCTTTCCATTCCACCTTCCAGAATCTACTACTCAACTCGCAACTTTCATTCAACCTCTAATTTTCACAACCTGAAAACTTCAACCTGAAAATTATAAGAAACATGGGCTCACTGTTTGTTTACTGTTTCCCAGTAATATGCTTACTTGATAATCAGTGAAACCACAATTGATTTGAGGTCATTTCAAGATCAAGTTTTCCCTTTCCCTGATTAAAAATTGATTTAAATCAGAATTACAGACACAGATTCCCTTGACTCTTATCACACAATGTCCCCAGGGAGATTCTCCTGGTTCACTTGCAGACTCTTTCTCTTTTTTTTTTCTTTTTTTTTTTATGGGAAAGCAGATTTTGCCACCATCTGAGGAGGATCAGAGGTTATCTGTCACTCAGGACAGTATATGCATGGAGCAAGGGTGGGCCATGTTGCGTCGGGAACCACAATAATCCAGCCAAAAGGTTTTCACATGTAGTTGCAGTTGACCCAGAATAAAGAAATGGGAGTCATGAAAATGGATCCCAGGAGATTTGATCTGACACATTTTCTCTTAGCCAGTCCTATTATTCTTAGGTAATAAACGATATATTTTGGATTTTAAGGAGATTGAAGTTGGGAATTGGTTTTGGATAGAAACAATTTTAGTGGAAAAAGATGAAGCTTATGTGTAGAAATCTCATAAATTTTATGTTGGCGTGAATTTTAAGGCTGATAGCACACCAACAACAAAAAATCTCCCTTGCGCGCAAGAAAGACTTTCCTAGGACCGACCAACCCACCCACGAAAGAGGAAGAGTTGCAAAGTCCCCGTTTGGATACCTTGCAGTCGCTGCTGACGTCATCGCCTTCGTGGCTCAGCTGGTTAGAGCGCCGGTCTCATACCTCCCCTCCGGGGTAATATTATATGATCGTCTGGTGACAGACGAGGCATCCGGAGATCGCCAGTTCGATCCTGGCCGAGGGCATCCATCTTTTATCACTGCGGCTGGCTCGTCCAGTCGATAGGACTGCGACCGTCGAGATGTCCAACAAAGCCACTCACCGGCCACCAGACCTCTTGAGGCGACTTTGTTGGGTACACGCGCCGTCTCCTCGTCGGCCGGCTGACATCCCCCCTCTAATATACGACTGCTTGCACAAGCAAACACGGCTGCATATTCTAGCAACCCCTTTTTCAGGGAATCCATCTCTCAGTGTGGACCAGACGCGGAAGGCTACATGTAACAATATCACATAGAAGCGAGTACATGCTCTTCCACTCGAGCACCAAAATTTCTATCCGACTGAGAAGATGACAGCAATTGACCAGCCCCCCCTCCCCAACACAAGAAGATATTGAGTTTTTTATTTCAAAAAAAAAAAAAATCTAATTTATTTCTTGTTTGGCTTGAAGTGCCATGAGACAAGGGAGTACAAAAACCAAAGACAAGCAAACAAAGCAAGATCAGTTGGAAAAATAAATCTTCACTTTTTTTGAGGTTCGGCAGAGCCCGTGGTGGGCAATCCGAAGGCGACCTTGACATAGTCGTAGATGAGCCTAACAAAATCCAACGTCACACATGTCAGTTGGCTGTGGATGGCACTTTGCGCCTGCTGATGACTAGAGAGAAAAACAGACCATTGTAGAGCGGTCAAAGTACCAATCATGACGATACGTGTGCCGAGTCCAGCCCAGAGCCCACCGAACCCAATTTCCTTGTAGATCGAGCCAACACTAGGCTTGGCCGATCCTTCCTTACCAACAGCATTCAACTTCGAGACCATGGTATCCGCGGGGCTGATGATCCGACAGATTGTCAGCGTTCTGTTACCCAGGTATTCTATTTATGTATGGAGATCAGTCTGACTCACTGAGATACAACAGCACAGAAAATACCGGCGATGTAGCCTCCAACGAAGGAGACACCCAATTGTTGAAGCTGCAATCGAGGCAAAATTGACAGTCAGGGTGGCATAGATTGTAGACCGGAAGGGCGAGAGGCGGATGCTTACCTTGTTGTACGAGTCTTTAGGTTTGCCGAGCGAAGCGTAAATCTTGGTGACGGTAGCTTCGAAAGACCAGAACTTCATCATGGTGTAGGGGATTTGACGAGACCAGAGCGAGCTGAGTGACTTGTAAAGACCGCCCGTGCCCTCAACAGCAACAAACTTCTTGAATCCATCCACCATTCCTGTGGCAAAAGGCGGGATGGTGGTTTGCATTCGGACCTTGACGGCTTCCATCGGCACGTATGCCGCATCGGCAATCAATTCGGCCGAGGCTGAACCGGCCAGATAGATGGCATCTTTGTATTTGACGGCATTGGCTGGTCCAACGGCGTCGGCGTATCTTGGAAAGAAACACAGAGCTCAGCAGTTGTTCAGTCACCAAAGCTAAGAAACACAACTAACTTTTTCTTGAAATACTCGTAGAAACCATATTTACAAGCGCCTTGGATTGAGTAACCAACCCAGGTAGGACCTATACCAGTGCTTGAGGAGGGAAAAAAAAAAGATAGGATGAGCGTTTGGCACACCTGGGCAAGTGGTGAAATGGAGTGGCTCACTAGAGCCCGCTGAATCCACCGGACTTATAGATCTTGGCCCAACCGTCCATATTACCTTTGTAAAGTGTCTTGTCGACCTATTCGGAGAGCATGCATTCAACACAAATGAGTGATTTGTCTCTCCGATCACGCTGGCATGGAGGCGAAGTGTGGTGATAAGGGGAAGGCTTACTTGTCTTCGACATTTGACCAAATCGAGGGGGGTGACAAGGGCGTGAGTAATACCACAAGCCAGTACACCACCTCCGGCACAAGCAGCGTAATACTTGGGCGAGTAGAGCTCGATGGTGGCCTTGGAAGCGGCACCGACGCCGGCGGCTGAAGCGACCTTGGATCTCAAAGCGTCGGCCTCGGACGAGATTTGGGCCTTAGCGCCTTCGATGCCTTCCTTGGACTTGCTTTCGATTTGCTTGGCCTTAGACTTGGCATCATCGACGATGCCTGCAGTACGTTGTATCATACAAGTATGAGAGATCAGCTTCCAAGCAAGCAGCGGGGGGGCAGGTTGAAAAGAGAATGGGCGGACTCAACTTGCAAGCTTCAAGGAGGGGAGCGAGGGGCTGAGGCCTGGGAGGGAGGGGGAAAGAGAGTTGGCCAGCGAGGCCATGTTAGGAAACAACATCGACATCGTTGGTGCGTTGGTGGTAGTCGGAGTGATCTCGACCGAGCGGAGTGGAGCACAGCAGTCTCAAGCTCGATCGTCGCGAGCCAAGCCCCCCTGCTGTGCTGTTCCCGATGGCTCCGCCCGCACAGCACCCGGAAACAGACGGGGCCGCAGCCTTCCCTGGCCCCCCTCCCCCCTGCCCCTGCGCCATGGCACACCCCGACTTAGCCCTAACCTCGACTGGACCCTCGGGTATATAAACCCACCCTTAGCCCGTCCCCCCCCGGGGGTCTTCCCACCCAACGCCATCATGTCAAATTACCCTCCAGACTATTATGAAAATTCTTCTCCAGCCTTGGAGGGCGCCGAAGCATTGCGGAAATCAACCGACCTTCTTCAGTCAAGCTTCTCGCTTGCAGTTAGCCTTCCCGGACCATCTCAACGCCCTTCTCGTACAGATCTTTTCCCGTCTCTGTCCGTGGGCTGGTAGCTCCGACAACCACTGACCTGTCTCTCGATACCAGTTGTATTCTTCTTCCCCTCGTCTCATCATGTTTATTCCTGCTATTCTTGTCTGCATTCCTCTCTCAATTATCTTGCAATGACAGTCACTGCGTTCCTGCTCTCCTAGGGGGATATATATAAGCAAATCATGGTGACTTGTTCTTTCTTGTTCTTTTTTTTTTTGGCATTCGGAACATTGTACAAGAGTTTTTTGACCAAGGGAAAGACACAGAGGTAGCACAATGGAGTGAGAAGGATGTCATGAGATCACACACTGTTCAGGATTAGGTAAACCGTCTTCGCCAAACACGCCTATTGAGGGCCGATAAATCAACCACACATTATGCTCACAAGCTTGGTATTTTTGGTGTGGAGATGAAGAGATGAAGAGGACGTACCGGCAGGCATGTCACCCAAGATTTCCTTCGGAGGAGGACCACAATCCTGCATTTTAGTGAGGAGATCAATGACCTGCTTTTGATTCGCGGCAAACTTATCTCCGCCAGCCTTCTCCTCGGTATCCCAATTTGGGTCCTCAAATTTTTGCAACACCTGTTGGATAATTTCCGATTGAGTTTCGTATCTCTGCAAGTCTTCTGGAGATAAGTTACTACGGTTTTCCTTGATCCAATCCGGGAACTGATTTCGTTTTGATGCGATTGAAAATCAGTGGATCCAAGCGGGAAGCCGTCAAGAAAAGACGCGCAATTAAAAGCTTACTAGGCGATTCATATCCTTCAGGGGCTCATACATGATCTCTTTCGACATCAGTTCTTCCATGAAGGACTGCAGGATCGTTTGCAGTTGGTTTTCGTCCGGCAACCCGTTCTCACCTCCCATCATCTTCTCGAATAAGGCCGAGAGCTTCTCGTCTTCCTCACCTACAACTGATGGACTGTTCGTGGCCTGTTCATGTGACAAAAAAAAATTAGTCAGCAAGGAGCAAATGTGTCTCGAGATAAATTTGTTCAAGGATATCTGTGTATGTGTCATCATATATTTTATCAAACCTGATGAGAATAAAGGATGAGTATTCGAGTTTATACTTTAGCAGAATGGTCGGATTGTTTGAGTTTTTCCATTGTCTCCTGGATAGCGGCCTGAAAATTTTGAGACTCGTTTTGGGAGCTAGGATGAGTGGGATGGGCAGAGGATGAGGAGGGGTGGTTATGGTTCTGATTGAGTGCATCGAGCAAGTCAGTAGCGCCTTTGAGGCCGCCGTCGGCGTCGACGAGAGCCTCGAGATGTTTCTGGAACTGGCCGCCGTCTTCCTGCTTCATTCCTGCGAGCAAGGCCTCCATTCCCTCGGCCAGGTCTCGTGCAAAGTCTTCGGAAGATGTTTCCGGGCTCCGCCAGTCCTCTGAGGCCGTCTGCTCTCCACCAACCCGCTCGCTCGATTTCTCCGTACGACGTCCCAGCTCTTCCTTCTGCTTCTTCACCTCCGCCGCACTACTAATGCCGCACGTCGAAGGGGCTTGGAACTTCTCTAGTAAGTCGTCAAAATCTTCCTCCATGTCATCCTCGATCGCCACAGCTGTCTTCTTCAGCGTCTCGTCCGCACTCATTCTGCCGATCAATTCTTCGTGACTGTGAACTCGAGGCGAGGTATCCAATGTCCGTCTGGGAGACCGTCGAATATGATGACAATTTTTGAAGAGACACTCAACTTCAAACGGAGCCCAAAATCCTCCCCAGACAAACTTCCAGCTCATTTTGGGCTGCGGACTGTGCATTAGATCAGCATCCCGTCTGGCTGTAAAAGGATGTGGCACTTGTCAAAGCATGTGGACTGCAAGACTCGAGCCTGCAACCTCTCAGTACATCCAAGGTGCTCTACCATCAAGCTAAATCTACACAGGATCTTGGGGAGATCCAACTCTGGCAAAGTAACACCTGCGGAAATTGGGTGTAAGGAGGCCGAAAGGCTCAATACCTGTTGAGGCGCATCCAATGAATGTACGGTAAGTTGTGAATATTTTCTCCATCACATGACATTGTAATTTCTGGCTGGCGGAAACGCATCTTGGAGGGACAAATACTTAATAAGGTAGGTAGCGTGCAATCATAGGGGTCTTTAAGGACTGGCTGTGGAATCCTCCTCAAGCCCTTGCTGCTTAGTACAAAGAAAAAAGGGGATATTAGAATGCTTTCTCCGGGTGCTGCACTCGCAAGTTGCTGTGGCTTATTGTCAATAATTCGGATGTCCAAATGCTGGGTGGGATGTTGGTATATTGCCCTTCACCCAATTTCTAATATAGCTTGATAGAGGCGGGAATTGCCACCACCTGCAGAAATTCATGAGAGCCTATATTGCCCTAATGATGAAGGACATTCAGATTGGTCATCTATCACTTCCTTGGGAAGCCACCCATCATTCAATCCGGAGTTTATGACCAGCATAAAATCTTGAAATTTTTGTGGTTCTCAATGGAAGAAGAAAAAAAGAACTTGCAACAAATTATGGATCAAAAGTTTGTGATGTGTAAATACCAGAATCCAGAGGGCTATCATGGAGTTTAGCTTATCCAATTCTTTCTTAAATTCAATTTTATTATCTTTAACTGACTTTGTGCTTCCTGAGTCATCTAGTCTGAGGTGTTCAGGCACCGTTGCAGGATTTGCCTCTTTCCTAAAAAGAATTGGGGACTGCCTGGGTTGGGATCATTGAATTTGATGAAGCAGCTGACTTTTTGTTTGGTTTGAGCAAGTTTTCCATGAAGTTGAATTTCTTTCTGACTGCACAAATTCCTTTCATCTTGTAAGTATGCCTTGTTGTTTGTGTTAATTTTTGTTAACTAGCCTGTGAGACTCATCATTGGTTGGGGTTTGAGACAGGCAAACATTGTGTGCACTGGCCAGATTTCAGTTTTTGTCCTGTCTGCTTGCTGTCTCCAGGGAATAAAATTGGCCATAAGATTTCAGAAGCAGCCTCATAAATCACTTCACTGGAGTAATCCTAATCTTTGAAACAGTCAATTATCTGGTTTGATTCCTTGATCAAGTTGATTTCTTGCTGATAAACTTCAAATATTGATTATTTTTCATTGGTTCCAACGGTTATTGGTCCATTATTGTTGTTTATGGAACCATTATTGCCATCATTTTCAGTGAAAATTACATTGGTATCATGACAAAGTAAGCTAGGATCAATTGGAATCTCCACTTGCGTTTACTTGGAAGGTTTATCGGGAGTTGAAGGGTGATGTTTTTTTGGAGGTTTGTTTCTTTCCAATTCACCAGGGACTCTATTTTTCTTCTTAAATGCTGAGAAAAAGAAGCTTTACTTACTACTGAAGAAAACTTTTACTCAGTTTATAGAGAGCTATTTTTGACTTGTGATTTTATTTTCTTAAAACCACCACCATTGCATTTGTAGGTCTCATACATAAATCTCACACAATAGCCAATTTTGGTTTCTGAGTTCATATAAAATTCCAGCTTTCTGATCCATAAGATCAAGCTAATTTTTAACACTCAGCAAACAACTCAGCTACAATAACCCGTTGCTGAGGGTACAACAAAAGTTGTAAAATTTTATATTCTGAAGCCAAGCCCCTTAGCAACCGGCCCTTTCTCTGAACTTTGACCCATCAAACAATTGCCATATCCCTTCATACCTTCTGTCCTCTTTTATTTCTGCCTGCTATCCCTTTGTCCCTTTAAAAATAGCCCATGTCATTCAACTAAAAATTGTCTCAATGTGACTTGAAAAGTAAACTCCAAGTAATTTGGCCCCGCATGTAGATCCAGACCCCTGCCTAACATCCCTTTCAAAAATGACCCAAGTGATTCAACTAATGATTTTCTCAATTTGACTTGCATTGTGGAGTCTTTATAGGCAAGGCGGTAGCTGCGGGTCTCAGAAATAGTTGCAGCTGATGGAATTGTCCACATGGAAAGCTGAGGTGGGCCAAAGAAAAAAAAGAAAAGAATTTTGTTAGGCTGAGAAGATTATATTTTGCTTTTGTCAGCGGCAGAGATAAGGGATGGTTGGGGGGAGTTTGGTTTTGGGGTTGAGCAGATGAGGTGGATTGGGTGGATGAGGGTTGCTTTGGAGGGTGCTGTGGGGCAAACCGGACCCTCTGAGTAGCCAGGGTCTGGAGCTTGTGAAGTTAGGGGGCTGAGGAGTGAGGCAAATGCAGGGGAAGTCAAATTGGGGTGGTGCTGCAGGGAGGGGAAATTGGTGGGGATTCGGGGCGGGGGCGTAGGCACTCAATGAAAGCGGGTAGT